GAAACAATCTACAAGAGGAAGCCTTTCCAAGTTCTAACTGTCGGCAGCTCAAAATTCGGATTAACAAAATGTGTTTGGATACTCATAGCAGCCGCGGTGTCCTGGCATTTAGGTTTCTGCCTGCGCGGCTGCTTCGGTATAAGAAAAAATATTACCTAATAAGTCAGAGTGTTGTGACACAGCTTAAACAAAATGACAGGGAGCCAAAATCCCAAGCTTTCCATATCAAATAATTCAATGACACTTGATATTCAATACCTTGCTCAGGATAGATAAGATACATATTTTAAGTGATACGTTTTTCAAAAATATTTTCGAACATTCTTCGACATTTCTATGACACCAATAATAAAAATGTGTTCCAAATGAGAGACTGGTATTCTGATTTTGATCTTAAAAAGACACATTTTCAAGCCAATATCCATATAGTTTGTAAGGTTTATATATCATTAGATTGATATATTGCCATTTAAAATAAGAAAACACAAAGTGCCATCTATTTCCATTCCCAGTATCGACCACATATTTTATCGACCACATATTTTTTAGAACTAGAACCTTCTAAATTGTGCAAAAAAAACAGAAATACTTGAATGATCCCATGATTGGAAACTTTATTATTTTCACGTATTTATGCATTTCCGTTCAAGTGTAAAAGTCCTTATTGAGTTAATGGCATGAGCAGTTCTAACTGATATTAGCCTTTTATCTTAATCCAGTAATGACCCTTGCGTATTTGGATTGCTCAAGCCGATTTAACAGTGTTGGTATTTGCCAATGACAGGCCGGCATGTGTTTATGTGTGGCAAACATTCAGTCTACACAGCACCAGCTGTACTAACCATCCGTTGCTAAAGTTGCTCGGTTACCGACTGTCTGATTTCAATTTGAGCTTGCATCCGCGACGTGCCCCAAGCAATTTAACTGGATATTCAATTTAATTTCGGAAGTCCGAACAGGGGTGATCAATTGTACGCTTGCTGTTTTGCAAGCAATATTGCTATCGAGATAAGGAATATACACTACTACGGCCCTTTCATGGTGTAACAATGATAACGATAACCAACAGAACACATAACGAACATATGCGAATAAGCGCCCTTGCTTCTCTTGCATGCTTATCACAGCACATTAATATATAGTCAACGTAGATATAGGGTGCCCAGAAATATCAGGTAACCAAATAAGTTCGTGCGGTTTTTATTAAAAATAATTTTTTTTTTTTAGAAACAGGACACTTTTTCTTCGTCGAAGTAATTAATAATAATAATAATAATAATAATAATAATATTTATTTACTCTAAAATATAGGGAACGTGAAACGAGTAAATAAATATAATATATCCATAGGAGGACAACGCCTGTGCATGGATCATATATGTATGTTGAATTGCAAAATATAATAAAATAGAGAGAAAAAAGAAATTATTGGTAAGAATGGTAGAGCATTTATTGTGTAATATTTGAGATTATTTTATTAATTTGATTTCTCCCAATCGTGTTAATAAATTTTTTTATTTTTTTTTTGAAGCCTAATGTATTGCGTAATTGTTTTAAATTATTTGGTAAATGTTCGTACAATTTTGGAGCTATATACAGGTGACATCGTTTCATTAGGGATTTGTTTGGTTTAGGAACATTTTTTGCGCGTAATTTATATCTGGTTTTATGATTATGTTTAATTATGTCGTGTTCACTAATAGTTTTGTGATAATGAGTGATGGTATGTAAGAAGTAAAGTTGTTTAGTATCATATACTTGTGCATCATTATATAAGTCATTAGTTGGGTATACTTTTGATTTGCCTAACATTGATTTTAAAATTCTTCTTTGAAGTACATCTAAATCGTTAAAGTATGTCGTGCATGCAGCACCCCACACTACTATACCATATGTTATGTGTGGTTCGACTAAAGCTTGATATATTATTCGTAGATAATATTCAGTTAATATACCGGTTAGAAATTTTATTTTATATGCTATGAATCTAATTTTCTTTAGTATGTGAGAAATATGTACATCCCATCTCAAGTGGGGATCTAGATAAATTCCTAAATATTTTGTATCATTAACTCTATTGATTTTTATATTTTTATCATTTACCTTAAACCGAAGGTGGTTATATTTTGGTAGATGATTAGATAGTGATGAAAATGGTAAAAAATCAGTTTTAGTAAAGTTAATTGTTAATTTTCGGTTATTAAACCACTGAATAATTTTGCAAAAGTCATTTTGGATAATATCTTTTAAGTCGTTCCAATCCTTACCTTTATAGAGTATATCAGTATCGTCTGCAAAACTGACTATTTTACCAGTACTGTTAATTTTGAATATATCGTTTAAATAAAGATTGAATAACAGAGGACCCAAAATTGTACCTTGTGGAACACCACATTTAACAAACATTTCTTTACTATACGAGCTTAATAATTTTACTGATTGCGGTCTATTTGATAAATAATTTTCCATTAAAGTATACATCTTTCCACGAAAACCTATTCTTTCTAAGATTTCCAAAAGTATATTGTGGTTAACTGTGTCAAACGCTTTTTGTAAATCCACAAATACGCATATCGATGGTACTTTTCCATCTATATTTTGGGTTGTTTCATCTACTATACTTAATACCCCATCTGTTGTAGATTTGCCCGCTATAAAACCATATTGATTTGAATTTAGAATTTTGAATTTATTAAGAAAATTAATCATTTTATTAAGGAGTAATTTCTCAAAAACTTTAGCTACACTTGATATAAGTGAAGTAGGTCGATAGTTAGTGACGTCCGTATTATCATTAGATTTATAGATAAGTATGATGATTGCTGTCTTGAAAGCTGATGGAAATACTCCAGATTGGAAGGATTTGTTAATGATATAAGCAAGTGGTTCTGTTATTTGTTTTGCCAGTATCTTTAGATGTTCAGCTCTAATTTCGTCAACTCCAGGGCTTTTTTATTTTTTAGAGTCATAATGGCATTGAAAACATCCTGATAGTCTACTTCAGTTAATACAAATGAATTATTCAGTCTTGTTTCATGCAGATGAATATCAGCATTTTGTTTGATATTATTTGCTAAGTTTCCTCCTATATTCGTGAAAAATTCTATGAACTCATCACATATTTGCTGAATATTGTCTGTTTTCTGTCCTGTTTTTGTTTTTATTTCATTAAAATTGTTTTTTGAATAGGATGACTTATTGAATATATTATTGACAGTGGACCATAGGTGTCTAGAGTCATGTGAATTATTATTATTACTATCACATTTAATGACAATTATCCAACGTGGAACCAATTTTTGTATGCCGGTATTATAGAACTCACTGGATTTGGAGTCAAAAAATTGGCGGACTGCATTTATTACACCATCTCGAGTTGTGAACTGTCGGTGCCTCACACAGTTGTCAAGAGACAAAAAAAGGTGATAGTCACTGGGCGAAAGGTCGGGAGAATATGGCGGGTGCGGTAACGTTGCCCAGCCGAGTTCAGAAATTTTTTCTCGGGTCACTCGCGGTATGAGGCTTGTCACTATCCTGCAAGAATATCACTTTCTTCTGATTGATCAAAGAAGGCTGCTTCTGGATGAGTGCTGCTTGTACTCATTGAAGCTGCTCACAATACAAGATAGCAGTGATGGTTTGACCCCTTTCCAAAAACTCATACTGGACAATTCCAGTTGCTGTCCACCAAACACACAACAAAACCTTGTTTGGGTGCAAGGAAGCCTTGTGCGTTTGTGGTACCGAATCAGTAGGCGACAACCAATTATGCGAACGCTTAGAATCCATTTTTCGTCGCAGGTTAATAACCGATCAAGAAACGGTTCATTAGCGTTGCGTGAAATGTTTGAACAAATGGTAAGACGATGTAATTTGTTATCATTTGTCAGTTCATGTGGGACACATTTGCTTAACTCCCACGTCTTTCCTTGGCACGTTGTCCTGGAATTTGCGTCCGCAACCTGTCGAAGATCCTATCGATCAACAACATCCATGGCAATGTGCGATATACAGCAACCGCACGAACTTATTTGGTTACCTGATAGAAGGATAATCCTGCAACTGCAAATAGGCCACTTCGTCCCGATCTTACTTTCGACCCGCAGGAATCAACATTTATTGAGAGTTGTTTGTGGTGATTAGCTCAGATTTGTATTTGATGCCATTTGATGCGGAATATAAAAGGCTAAATAGTCGACTGCATAAAAAATCTAAATCCATCTCCTGCCCGTACTTCGGTTGGTATAATTTTCAATGATATATATTTTGAGGCAAATGTAAATAACAGATTTGCTGCAATATAATACTCCGGCAGATCAAAATTTGCCAAATCTAGACCACTTTAATCACAAACATTCATAATGATGGTTTTTGCACCGCTGCCCTATTTCATAGCCACCAAGATCGCTGGTCCTGAATCCACTAATTTTCTGTATTGGTGTTGCCTTAGAGACGTTCTATACCATATGCCAAGCTGAGTTGAACATAGTAACAAAATTGCGTTCCAAAGTTGAACCAGGCTCAAGGATGTTACTAGTTATTCTGACAGGTGAAACAAATATCTTATGAAAAAATGCAGAGCAAGTACTAAGGCCTAAACAAATGTGTGTACCATGAGCACGCATACATTCTGGCGCGGTCTTATGGCTCGTTTACACAGTGCGAGCTGCTGACTAGGTAGTAGACAGCTACTCTGATGGTCTACTCGTATGCCAGTAGCTCGACTCGCCTTGTTTCCACGATGATAGTAGCTGCCCAGTATCTTCCGAGTTGTCGCGATGTTGAGTCAACTTGCTGTGATTAAAAAAACGGTGATAAGGTATATGACAATAATATTATGTGAAGAATTGGAAAAATCCTACAAAAAACTTCAAAAAAAGGAGAGGAAGAAAAAGGTTTGTGCGATTTTCAAGGAGCTTTATCATGAAGACCCCCGAGAATATAAAGCAGTGCTGAGAGTGACACCCGAACAAGTTGACAAACTTTTAAATTTAATAAAAATGAAAATAGAGCGTCAAGACACTTTTATGAGAGATGCCATACCAGCAAGGGTAAAGTTAGAAGTAACCCTGTGTTTTCTAAGCTCAGGAATATCATACAGGCTGTTAGCAATATTTTTCAGGATTTCAAAATCCTCCATATTAAAATTTATACCAGAAGTTTGTGACGTTATGTATGAAGCTTTGGACGAATATTTGCAGGTAAGTAGAAATGTGGTAAATGCTTCATGAGTTGATACTCCAAAGGTTCAGTTAACTTATTCAATGACACATGTGTGGATCGTACATACATTCATTCATTTATTAAAGACAAACCAAGTCATACAAAATTAAACAAAAGTAACACAGAGGATAAAAGTTATTGCATATTGTTCATATCAGCATCTATCATTGCTCTGACTAGTGGATCACCAAAGTGGATACCCTCGTATGATGCATTTGATGGTTGTCCAACAACTGTTTGAACTGGCTGCCGAGAAACTGTTTCTGCGGGCCGATCAGATATTGGGACAGGTCCTGGGAATGAATCACTTGGTACACTGGATCCTGGTGATGTCAGCGATATGTAGGACGTTGGCGACGATGTATTATATGAGGAAAAAGCAGATGTGTTTCGGGCATATATATATCTTTTTTTCGGTATCGGGAAAGTACTTGTTGGATTTCATCTTTGGCGTCTATAAAATCGAGTAATGGGAGCCCTCTCAGTTGAATAGCGACATGTTTTCCAATAACATCGTACTCATCACATTGCTGAGAACAACTGGAAGTTTGTATAGTACTATTCAGTTGTTTAAGCTCATTAATAGCTGCTGCAATTCCACTCGTTTCTTGGGTAATGTTATGCTTTATTTTATTTTCAACTTGAACTGGATTTTTATGTTTGATCAACGAGGTGTCGCTGGAGTCGATTGATCTATTATCAGTTTTATCATCAATGTCCCGACTAACATCATCTTCCAAAATTTTGGACCCCGACGGTGTATCGATAGGCTGAAATGAAAATACTAAATTAATATTTTTTCAGGTACCAGACAAAAGGGAATGGGAAGACATACAAGTAGGATTTCACCACAGGTGGAATTTTCCAGGATGTTGTGGAGCCATCGACGGCAAACATGTGGTAATTCAAGCTCCTCCCAATTGTGGTAGTGAATACTATAATTATACTGTTTTAAATATGTGGACATAGGCTCATATGGGCGAAATTCCGACGGTGGTGTTTTCCAAGCTTCCTCATTGTATCCAGTGTTGGAAAATGGGTCATTACTACCAGAAGGTGGATTCCTAGTGGGAGATGATGCTTTCCCTCTTAAGACGTACTTATTGAAACGATATCCCAATGAGCCCACGATTGCCGAAAAAATGTACAATTACAGATTCACTAGGGCAAGACGCATAGTAGAAAATGCATTTGGTATTTTAGTATCTCGATCTTTTGGCAAAACCTATCCAGTTGCAAGAGGAAAGCGCAATAAAAATGATTCGAACTACATGTGTACTGCACAACTAACTGGTTGCGTAAATCTTCACTTCAAACCTACACACCACCTGGTAGCATAGATTATGAATATATTGTAAATTTTACTACGAACCTAGGAACGTGGAGATCAGAAATAAATGCGTTACCAAGTATCGCCCGTTCGCGGATCAATAACAGATCAAACTTCGCAGCTGAAAAATTGAGAGAAAAATATAATTTTTTTTGTAATGAGGGTGCTGTCACCTGGCAAAATTATATGATTAATAATAATTAAATGTGATGAACTATCTCAGTGGAATAAAATATCAGGTACTCACCAGATTGCTTGTTGTTTTCTTTTCTTTCAAATTAATTGTTTTCATTATATACAAAGTGACATATAAATCCGAACACCCAGTTTAAATGGTTTTATTTTAATAAAATTTTGTATAAGTACTTAATGAAGTATAATAAGTAAATGATAAAAATTTCAAAATGATTGCATTGCTTTAAAGCCCTTTGACCTTTAGTAATCTGTGGATGCACCCTGATGTGCTACGCATTCTCCAACGCGTCTAGGCATGCTTCTGATCAGGTGGTCAATGTCCTCCAGTGGTATCTCATTCCAGGCAACCACCAACTCCTCTCGAAGTGCTTGTAGAGTCTGAGGAGGACGTTGCAAATTGAGCAATCTCCTACCCATCATATCCCACACGTGCTCAATTGGGGATAAGTCGGGAGATCTTGGTGGCCATGGTAACAATGTGACATCATTATGTTGAAAGAAGTCTATTGTGACTCTTGCAACATGTGGTCGGGCATTATCTTGTTGGATAGTTGGATCTGCCAGGGTGTCAAGATAGGGAAAAGATGGGGTTCTAGAACTTCGGGGATATAACGCTGTGCGTCCGTGTTACCTCTGATGAAGATTAAAGGTGACCTGGAACCATCAGCTATAGCACCCCAAACCATAACTCCAACAGTGTGATGAACATGTCTTTCAACAAAAAACTGTGGATTCCTCCTTTCACCACGTCGCCTTCTAACCCTGGCACGACCATCGTGCATGCCTAAACAAAATCGAGACTCGTCACTAAAGACAATACTGTTCCATTCCTGATCCCAGAGTGACCGTTGTCTGCACCACTCAAGGCGATTACGTCGGTGTTCTCGAGTTAAAGGGAGGACCCAGTGTGGCCGGTATGAACACAAGCCAAAACTTCTCATTCGTCGGTAAACACTTCGCATGCCAATAGGTCTTCCGTGTTCTGCAAACCATTCATTTGCAATGGACCTGGTAGTGGAAAAACGGTCCCTTAAGGCCAATAATCTTAGGCGGCGATCTTCACGGTCTGTTGTTCTACGGCGGCGTCCAGTGCCCCTTGCTCTTTGCGTACGGCCTTCTCGAAGCCATGCCTGACAACACCTAACCACAGTGTCTACACTTCTTTGCACTCTAACTGCAATAGCCCGAAAAGAAAGTCCAGCTTCCCGAAGTCCCACTATACGGCCCCTATCAAACTCACTAAGTTGACGAAATCGTACAGGTCTCCGTACTCTAGGCATCATAACCGATCGTAAAGGATGTCAAGAACCAAAATCCGCCAACGTTGATTCTTTACTGCGGCTGAAATATTCATTTTTAGAGCGTTAGTGAATTAAAAAAAAGCAGTATAAAAATCGGAATGCCCAACTGATAAGGCTGAAAATTGTTTCACTTGTTATTTACAGTAAGATAAATACATTCACCAACTTTTATTAAAATAAAACCATTTAAACTGGGTGTTCGGATTTATATGTCACTTAGTACATAATCCATTATATCGAACCATTTTAAGGATGACTTGTAAACATCTTCCGACCCAGATCCACTCTTTTTACTTTATTCAATTTTCGCGCGTTCTTGGTTATAGGTAGATCGTAAATTTTTTATTTTTTTAGTTACCTCACTGGTGTTAACTAGACTCATTTCGTTTGCAATGTATTCCAAAGATGCTTTTCTCATATCTCTCTTTTTATAATTTTTATCAAAACAATTCCATAGGTTTTCTTGTTCTCTGTAGAGATTCATGAATGTAATATTATTCTCAGAAGACCACCTTTCGGAGCCCATTTCGAATTGGGTAAACGTTTGTGGCGCAGCACACATAAAATACAGCTTCTGCTTCGTAATTGCGGGCTGACACTGGCGAGCTACTGCCGAACATGTCCGAACGATGCGAATGACGTCCGAGCTGTTGCCATATGCGCGTTGCTGTCGGGCCAGTAGGCGAGTGAAAACAAAAATTGTTGAAGTAACTCGGATGCGAGCTACTGTCCAACTCGCACGTACGAGTTACTCGTAGGTACGTCCGTATTTATGCGAATTACTGCACTGCAGCTACTCGGCAGGGTGACTCGTACGCTAGCTCGCACTGTGTAAACGAGCCATTTTAGAGATCCGTCCTCGTTCAGTCATCCGAGACCATCTATCATTTACGAAGAATTGCATCACCCATCATGCCACCGCTCGGTCTGCAGAATGAAATAAACATTTTTATATGTTATATTCATACAGTAATCAGTACATGCTACTACTATGGCTTCATGTAGAGAGCAGAAATTAAATCTTTTAGTTATCTCTGCCATGTCTTATGTCCACCCTTTCGCATAGACGACCTTCACGTTAGCTTAAATCTCTCTCAATACATGATGCATGTTGCATGTTCTGGTCATTGCCGATGGTGCTACACTGTCGTACTTGCCTTGGTAGACATACCCGTTTTGTTCGCCGTGACATCTTTTTCATTATCTAGTTTTTACAATCTTGTTAATAATGGTGATTTATTAAAATGCAGAAATGGCGGAAATGCATTTCGTATATGGCCTTGCCGACGGTAATTGTGAGCAAGCCAGACGTATTTATCACCAGAGATATCCCGATCGTGCTTTGCCGGATAGTCGAACCTTTTCTAATATTCATCGTCGTCTTGTTGAAACCGGTTCTGTCCGAAAAGGAAGATCTGAAGGTAGACCTCTAAGTGTGAAAACACCTGAAATTGAGGAAGCAGTTCTGCACGAAGTCGAAGATTATTCTGAAACGAGTACGAGGAAGATCGCTAGACACGTAAATATTTGCGATCAAATTGTTTGGAGAATTTTAGTGGATTTTTTGTTATATCCCTACCATATTTTAAGAGTACATTTATATTCCAAGGCGTGTGACCTTTTGTCAGTGATATCTTCAAAAAATTACACAAAATCCGCAATTTGAATCAATGATTCTGTTCACGGACAAAGCTATTTTTTCTCGAAATGCCAGTCAGAATTTCCTCAATAATCATTTGTGGGCAGAAGAAAATCCCTATGCCGTAACCGAAACCCATTTCCAACATCAATTTTCGGGTAACGTGTGGGCAGGAATTATTGGCAACCACTTTATTGGCTCATTCTTCCTGTCGGGACGACTTGACGGTCAGACTGACCTCAATTTTCTTCAACAACAGTTGCCTGTGCTGCTTCATGATGTTCCGTTAGTAATAAGAAATAATATGTGGTACATACATTATGGTGCACCAGCGCATTTCAGTGCAGCGGTTCGTAATTATTTACAGACTGTTTATCCAAATCGTTGGATTGGCCGCGGTGGGCCCCAAGAATGGTCACCAAGGTCGCCAGACCTCAACAGTTTGGATTTCTTTTTGTGGGGCTATCTTAAGACACTAGTGTACACAAGTCCCATTAACAATGTAGAGGAATTAAGAGAAAGAATAGTTGCAGCTTGTGATAGAATAAAAAACACTCCAGGGATATTTCAACAAGTACGCAATTCCATGAGAAGGAACGCGTAAGCATGAATACTAAGTGAAGGGGACCATTTTCAACAATTTTTGTAATCATTTCGTTGGGTTTAATGTTATGTCTATGTTGTCAGTTGTTGTTATTAATTGCCCCTAATGTGTTTAATTTTTCCAATTAATAATTTTGCAAGTTAGACAATAGAACGGTTTTTATTTTTTTACTCAAAAATGGCGCATCGAAGGAAAACAATTCAAGAGAGATCATTTGTTTTAAATTGAACGGTAAACTCAAAAATAAGTTTTATTTGACAAAAAACCGTTGGCGTACCATTTTTTTTTTTAAATATGGAGGTCAATACCCGTACGCACGCCACTGTTAAAGCTAAAAATTATTTTTGCATACAAAAATATGCAACTTTATTAACTTCCACTACGTACCAAATATCAGTGAAGTATCTGAAGCGGTTCTGGAATATTAATAAATTTCCATTTTTTTTTTCTAAAACTTCAACACCCCGTAAGGAAACATTTTTAGACCATAGTTTATAAAGCAAACTCACATTAATTTTTCATGTAGATTCACACCCTTAAATATTCGCATATCATTAAGGAACACCCTGTATACAAAGATACGGTGTTTGAAAATATCTTTTTTAAAGCTTCACAACCGTAAACTGGAATCAACTGCAATTTGATATAAGGATTTATTTTTGCCATTCAAAAGTCTTCAGTTAAAATTAACGTGCACCAGTGACGGAGATACAGGGGATTAGTGGCATTATTTTTCCAAATAAAAATAGTACGCCACTGTATTTTTGATTTCGAAACCCGAAATTTTATCGAATTTTACCTGCAATAGAGTGCATTATTTTCCTAAAAATAACAAAAAGGAATTAGATGATTAAAGCTTTATTTCAATAAAGGCCACCATTCTGATGGAAACAAGTGCGGCATCTTTTTAATAAAGGATAGAGTATTTCAGCAAAATTTTTTGTGGCTTGAATTTCAAGAAACGCATTATCTATTTTTTCTTGTACCTGATCAACAGTATCGTAGTCTAAAATAATTATTAACCATGCGGTTATGTCACGTCGTACACATTTTCCATGTAATTCTCTAGAAACGCTAAGTATGAGTTTGCATTTAAACGTTGTGGCAATACGTGTATAAACAGTTCGCCATTGAGAATGCCGCACCAGACAATTCTAGAAAATCTGTGAAACAAGTGGATTCTTATAGAACGGGGATTTTCTAAAGACCAAATATATTCATTATGAGAATTAAAGGTTCCACTCCTCGTAAAAAGCTATTCATCTGACCACAAAAGACAGCCAGCCAGCAAAAAGCAGCCATTCACAAAAATTTTGCCGTTGCACTTCGTCGCCGGGTTGCAGATATCGCACATTTTGCCGATGGTAAGGATGTAAAACTTCCCTATTAAAAATTCTCCACGCAAGACTTTGGGAACATGACAACTGGGCTGCAATCCGCCTAGTACTTGTACTAGAATCATCCACTGCCAAATTTATCACTTCCAGTACCTCTTGAACAGTAAGCACAGCACCAAGGCCTCTAACCCCGGACAGCTTAGCAATTCCATATTGCCGATTTCCGAAGTCTTAGAAATAAACGCGTAAAAACCTTTGTTGTAAGTTGGCGTCTGAAACTCCCGAGAAACCGCTAAAGCATTTCCATTACAGAACCCGTACACAAAAATGATATCGGCGTACTCATCATTGCTAAATTCCATTTCACAACACTCAAAAATGGAAAAAAGAAACTTTTGACTTGACTTTCACAAATAAAAAATGGTAGTAGTAACGATAACGTATAACACGTTGACAAACTATCTCCCTAGAAGCGTTAAGTTTGTATCAAGACAGCAGAAAGTGCCGTCTCTTATCAGAATCGACCATTGCGAAAGTGAAAACAGCAAGCTGTCTGTTGGAATTGCCTCGTGTGCCGTCTATTTATTGACGATCTTCCTAACCACAAGTAGTTTTAGAACTTGTGCAGAGCTTTCTCCAAAATATTTCATTCTCTAGGATTCATAATGAATATAAGAAAGCAATATGACGATACCTCTTTAGAAACACAAGCTTCTGAAAGATGTCGCTTAATAATTTCCTTAAATAAGCTCCAAACACTGCATGTTTAAGTATTGTTTAAAGTAGCCTATTTAACTTAATTTAGTTGTTAAATACAGAAGGATATCCTGTTAATCTCGTTCTTTCGTTTTCCGTTCTCAACAGAGGCTAGACGAAATTATTTGTGTACACATGACACAAGTAGTAGCAACCCTTTTGGACTTTCACCTACTACCCTCTACAAATTTTGCATTTCAAAACAGCAACAGTCGTAGAAGACACCTACTCAATTTGTAGTTAGTCTTCTAGTAGCATGGATTTGCTAAATCAAACAGCATCAATGTCAGTAGAATTGCAGTTGCACATTACTTGAAAGAAAAAATCTAATAAACTCGTTGGTAGTCATGAACATTACAAAACTATAATCCAATTGAAAAAAGACAGCTTCAACAGAAGCATCTTGCAAAGTGAAAGAAAAATACAGGTACTGGCGGAAAGCTCTACGAAATGTCTGTCCCACTGAGATATTGAAAAAGTTTTACATCGACTTGTTCGTAATACAAGTTCATGTGTACGGAAGATGGACATACCGGGTGTTTCAATTTCGACTCTCACCATTGCGATCTCGGAAACGGTAAGAGATAGGGGGGCAAAGTTGTGCATTTAGGCAAATAAGAAATTGTCACTCAGAAACTTTCACAATTGCGTGTACTTCCAGATATGAAGAGAAACCAAATTTCCCAAAAATCTTTTATGTTCTTTTCTGGCTTTATTTGAGATGGAATTTTAAAATAAAAAACACATTAACATTGCCACTTGCCTTCCTCTACAAGAGGGCATAATTAGTTTCAATCTGACGATTCGTCTCTTGCCCCCAATCATCAAAATTATTTTTTCTTATAGATACTACATTGAATTTTGCACAGGTGAATAGTTCATTATTCAAAAAATGTATATATATATATATATAATATATGATTATTTGTTTCATAATATCATCAGCAAGCATTCCTTCACTTTTTATGAACTATGGTGTACAGTTCCTATTTTCGATCTCAATAATGTGATGTCATGACATGGATTCATGTTATAGAACTTCAATTGTCTAAAAAAGTAATCTTCCCCTAGTTGGTGTTAACTCATCAAATAAAGAACAATAACGCTGAAACTCTCATATTATTTCAGGGTAGTATTGAAAACTGTATTATTTTACGTAACTGCTCGACAATGCTGAGGCGTGAGTTATAAGATCGATGCTTCGAAATCGCTTTTTAAAAAGTTTATTTTTCGAAAATACAAAACTCAAATCTGTACTTTTACAAAGTTATTACAATGTTATTATGATGTAAACAGTACAAAGGCTTAAATCTGACTGACTGTAAAATGTGTTGAGAACAATAAAG